TTTCACCACTATTCTATCCTCGGCAATGTCGGGATGTATCTCGGGATGGCACTTTCGACCTTCTGCTGCTGGCCGTTGCCTCTGCTGCATGGTCGCAAGCCGTATATTCTGTGCAGCCTGTGTGTGGCCATGCCGCTACTCTTTCCCCAAGCCATTGCAGTCAGTGTTCCTCGGTCTCCATACACCAGCGTCTGGAGATGGGCGTTGCTCCTTTCCAGAGCCGTCATGGGATGTGCTTTGGGATTCGCCAGCATGAATTTCCATTCTATGCTAACGGACCTCTTCGGTGCATCTTTGATGAGTAGTAACCCCCATCAGGAAATCGTCGATTATCACGATGTAAGGAGGCACGGTGGCGGGCTCGGTATCTGGCTAGGAGTTTGGACGTGGTGCTACATCGGCTCACTAGGTGTCGGCTTTTTAGCTGGCGCTCTAGTGATTGATACCCTACGGCCATCGTGGGGCCTCTACATCAGCATCATGCTAATAGCAGTCGTCCTTTTTCTCAACGTTCTCTGTCCGGAGGTCCGACGATCGGGTTGGAGATATTCTGTGGCCGAAGTTAGAATGGGTTCGGCAGTGTCCCGAAGAATAGCGCGCGGTGAGATCATGATGCACCGAGTCAAGGATGGCCCGAAATGGTGGGGCCAGGAAATGTATCATGGAGTTGCCCTCTCTCTTGAGATGCTTCGTCAGCCTGGCTTCGTTATGATGGCTGTATACTCTGCGTGGATATACGCACAAGTCGTTCTGATCATTGTCGTAAGTTGGCCGTCTCCTCCCAATTTTTTACTCTCCGCTAAATTACATAGCTTCTGGGCTCGTTAGCGTCCAGGTCATATCACTTTCGATCTCCGTTCGTAGGCGCCGCGGTATCGTCTGTTGCGGTCGGTGCACTCGCGGCAGTACCGTTCCAGATGGCAAACATTTTCTCTCGATTCCGCTCTACAGGACCGGTGACCAACAACATGACCTTTGACAGAAAGGTGACATGGACCTCCCACCTCGTTCGACGAGCAATTTTCGTCATCGTGCTCCCGATTGCCGGTATTCTTTACACTGTCGTTTCCTCCGGGCCCTCCGTCCATATTGTTTTCCCGTGCATTTTTGCAGCCATCATTGGGTTCTTGTCATGCCTTGCTATAGCCGAATGCAACGGCATGCTGATGGAGACGTGGGATTGCTCCGACATGCAGCCAGGCATGACTGGCCGGTCGAGGTCAGGAACAGACGGCGAAAGACGCACCAATTTTTCATCATTCCCTCGAGTCACAGCTGGATGGAACACTATCCACAGCATTGGTTTCATTTTTGCCGCGGGTGCGACAGGCATCGGCGGCATAGCAACGCGAAGTCTAGGACAGAGAGCTGCAACAGGAATCGTGGCATCTATTTTATTTGTGCACTCGGTTCTCCTTTTGGTCGTATTTGCTCGATTCCGAAGAGTGCAAATCATTCCGAACTCAAAGAGCATGGAGATGGACAAGTGGACGCAAGAACGACGTGACAGTCTTCGACGTCGCGCTTCTGCAATTGCCGCCGCCAAAGCCAGTGGTATCAAGGATGTTACTGAAATTGCTGAAGAAGACGTAGGCTAGAGACCAGTCATTCTTGGCAATCCAACCGAAAAGTTCCGTCGTATGAACATCCTTGAGCTAGGTTCTCTGACTCGATGGAGCGAAATCCGCAAGAAAAACCGCCTAATTGACGAGGGGGTTCACCTTAACCGACAGACGGTCGATCTAGCTCGCGATGAGTTTGGGCGACGACGCGATGAGTTCATAGGTGATATTAGCGATATCGTCCGAAAAGTGAGCAAGAGGAGTAAGAGGAGTCTGAGGAGTATGAGAAGCAAGCAGAGTCACGATAGTGACCATGAGGACCATATTGAGCTCGAAAACATTGGCCCACTAAGCCATGCCGGAGCCGGTCTTGAGCATCAACATGCCACGCTTCCACGTGACGTCTATCTCGAACGCGAATGCATCATGGGCCAGACCGTACCAGAAGAAGCAGAGGAACTTTCGTCCATGAACGGCGGATCGGATGACGACTATGGTCACAATCGCATGCAAGGCCACTCGTCCCACATAACATCCAAGGTTCAACCTTATGCTGGCTTCGAAAGACAAGAGCTTCGAGGTTCCAGACTCGGTACGGGGGATTATGTCATCAATATGGATGCTTCTGGAGGCAGAGATGTCTCTGTCGCAGACCCGGAGGTGATGCCAACCGACCCGGACGCATTAGAGCACAGAGGAGAGCATGGTGCACACGTGGGGAATAAAGTCAGGCCAGCAGACACAGGGTTTGAGAGCATGTCGCAAGGGCATGGTGCTCATACGTACGAGAGTAAAGTCCGACCAGCTAACTTGGGATTCGAGGAGGTTGATTTGAGTGATAGGTCTGAGCGCCGAGATTCGAAGACGATGAAGCAAGACTGAAGGAAAGCAAACACAGGAGTCGTTTGAGCGCCATGGGAAGAGAATGGAAATACTCATAACCCTAGAACTATAATAAATCCCTACCTCCTAAGATATCCAGGTTGAAAGCGGCAAATATGTGAGGCTCAAGGAGCGTACGCGACAATAGGATGGACTACCCTCGTCGATTAGGCGGAAGAGAAAGACGACGACATCGCGCGGTCCGTCGCGACCGATATGGTTGCACAGTGGGAAAAGTTCGGCCGGGGACGCGGTTTGTATCTTCCCTTCCCTACCTCACGGCTCGTAAATTTAATAAGGTCATGGCTGGATGAAGCTTCGTGAGATGAATACACTTGTTTGTGAAATGGATAAACTCATAACCCATGCCCGGCTTACTACATACCTCGTATAGATGCATAATAAGGTACCGCTTTAGCCAGTACCTTGTAGTTTAAGCGGGGACTTACATAATTTCTACTTGAGGAAGGAAATAGCGCGGCAACCAGGAATGACGCAATTGTCTTTCTTACAGCTGTCTCATAGCTACAAGAAGGTAGATTAGACTTGGGAAAAGCAACCTTCTCGTCCGAATCTCGCTGGGTCAAATGTTTTAGTAATATTGAAACTTTTATATAAACTCCGGATTATCATGCTGCCCAGGTTGCAGTTCTACCCTGTGACTTTTTCATGTAAGCAATATGTCATTGGTCACTTGAAGGATTGAAATTCCTCGTGCCATCCGTCCAGCCCGTCAATCCGCTGGCCGGACCGGAAATTGACTCGAATTTCCAATCCATACCTTCTTCGTGATCCTAACATCCCTAACCTACACCTACGCAAGGCAGTGCCAATGCTAGTAGCGGTGCCAACATGAAGCTCTACGCCCTCGGAGACCTCCACCTCGGCTACGAGTTCAACCGAAAAGCGATAGAGGAAATCACGCCGCACCTCGAAGACGGATTGATCCTGTGCGGCGACGTCGGCGAGACGGAGGCGCACCTGGAGCTCGCCTTCACGGTCGCGAAGCGCAACTTCCGGGACGTGTTCTGGTGCCCGGGCAACCACGAGCTGTACACGCTGGCGTCGTCGCGCCCGGACCTCCGGGGCGAGGCCAAGTACCAGTTCTGCGTCGACATCGCGCGGCGCCACGGCGTCCACACGCCCGAGGACCCCTTCGTGCGCTGGGACGGCGAGGGCGGGCCCGTGCTCGTCGCCCTCCTCTTCACCCTCTACGACTACAGCTTCCGGCCGCCCCACGTCACGCGCGAGGGCGCGCTCAAGTGGGCCGAGCAGACCGACACCGTGGCCACCGACGAGTTCCTGCTGCACCCGGACCCGTACCCGTCGCGCGACGCGTGGTGCCAGGCGCTGGTCGCGCGGTGGGAGCGGCGCCTCGCGACGGAGAACCCCGAGGGGCTCCCGTACGTGCTCGTGAACCACTGGCCGCTGCGCGAGGACCTCGTGTACATCCCGCGGGTGCCGCGCTTCAGCCTCTGGTGCGGCACCAAGGCGACCGAGGACTGGCACGCGTGCTTCGGCGCCAAGGTCGTCGTCACCGGCCACCTGCACGTCCCCCGCACCGACTGGAAGGCCGGCGTCCGCTTCGAGGAGTGCAGCCTCGGCTACCCCCGCCAGTGGCAGGACGTCCGCCCCACCGGCAGGGGCATCAACGACATCCTCCGCGAGATCCTGCCCGGGCCCCCGCCCCCCGAGGGAGGCGAGTCCGACATGAGGAGGCGCCGGTGGGTTTGACAGCGGTGGTCGATGCAGCGGCAAAGGGAACCCCTTACGTCTCTAGCAGTGCAAGGGCGTTTTTCGGTGAAGGCGGCTTGGTTGAATACCTATGCATTGGCAAGCGGGGCATGCGATGCGAGTCTTATAGAAGGGGGGGCTACGCTGAACGATGGGATCTGAGCTATGAGGATAGAACCAGAGAAGATGTCACGATGTCACGATGGGTTTGAGATCGCGGGGTTAGTAAAAGCACTGCGCGATTTTAATCCCGATGACGATCACAAGGGGAGCGGCAGCATACATGGACGGCTTTTTTCTTAGATTAGATGCATACATGGGTACAGGAAGAGTTGGTGTCGGTTGGTGTAGACATCAGAGATAATTCACGTCCTTCTCCTTTTCCCCTTTTCAAGTATCCAGATGGTGGTACGTCAAACCACGGATGCTGAGGGGGCACTCGCACATGCACCTATCCATCTATCCCTACTGTCCCTGGGGGTACCATCCCGATAAGCCGGACCGGATATCCAGTCCGCTTCATGCCATGAGTCCAACTCGGTACCTAACGAAACGGAGTGCCCTTTAACGGCGGCCAACGGCGCTAGGGACCTCTGTCGGGGTTGGTGCAGTTCCTGAAGATTATGAGTTACACCCGTGACACTAGACTGTGATGAGAATGTGTTGGTGAGCTTACCAAGGTCGAAGATATCCGGACTAAAGCCCCAATTAGCGTAGCCCTGACCCTATGAGCTCCACTTCACTACCTACACGCTGATCACCTAAAGGTCATAATTAGAACTTCTTTATTCGCAAACGAGGACAGATATCCAGCCACGTGAATCCCCTGTGGCGCAATAGGCAGCGCGTCTGACTGTTATATGACATTGAATAGTAATCAGGAGGTTGATAGTTCGAACCTATCCGGGGGAGTCTTTTTGTTTTTCTCTTCTCTTTGCTATTGTGGTATCATACATTTACGAGACTTGCTACATGTCAGCTTCGCTGAGTTGGCACTATGCTGGTTAACCCTTGCTGTATCTGACTCTTTAATCCGTTTAAATGCCAGGCCTCTTCGATACACCCTCTATTGTTGTCGATAACTCGTCATCATATTCTAGTCATCGGTTACCTTTTCTTCTCATATAATCACTACATGGAGTGCTCAAACTACGAATATACGATCGGGACGATGCTTATATCCTTGACCCGAGAGATATATAGCGTACTTCTACATCTAATTTGAGTTAACTCTGACCCCCTAAGAAGCGGTTTGCACAGCCACTTCGCCGGATGTAAGATGCATGAACCTGGAGGAGCTGGAAATTAAGCTTGATACCTCTGTACGCAATGCCGGACCCCAACGAAATCGACAAGACTATCGAGAAAGCACTGAAGGCTGTTTACAGACTCGGTACGCCCCAGTCCTGAAGAATGATGAGAGCTGGGCAGTAGAGGGTACTATTGAGTAATTGGATCTTCATGAGTCTCATTACTGTGAAGTATCTCCAGCGACCCATCGTTGCTCGCCGCTGGATTTGAACCAGCCAGCTTTCATTTATATGTTTTAATAGCAGTGACAAGAGGATTTGCTGCGCTTGCCCACCGTCACTATATGGGCTAGTAACGGCTAGGTGTGCTCCTTTATTTGCCATGCGGCTACCGGTACTCGGCACAAACAATCTGTCGTTTGAAGTTTGTAGACCGCGATATTTTATCTTGATTTTCATTTTCGGCTTTTTGAGCGAGCATTTCAATGTGCCTGCTAGAAACTGTTAAGACGAGTGTGATTGATTCGCTGTTAAAAAAAAAACATAAAAATGAAATGACAATCGAAGGGAACTCCCCGGGAAAGGCTCGAACTTTCAACCTCCTGATTAACAGTCAGACGCGCTAGCCAATTGCGCCACCGAGGACATCCGACAACCCTGCGAATTTAACAGGTGGATTGTTGAAAATTCACCGCCATTATTATTATATATATTCCACAGCACCATCCTAAGCTTGATTCGGCTTATCGCAGGTACTTGATTGGGGGTACATCACGTGCTTTGCCAATCCATTCAGTCCAGGTCGTATGCTAACTTCTACAATAACGTGTTTTGGTCGCAACGATGATATGAAGCGTATAATTGGTGTTGGCAATGCGTTATATAGTAGAAAAAAGTGTAGCAACTCGCGACAAAACAGCAACATGATGCTCTTGAGATAGACAGTGTTGAAAGATGGCGTAGTAGGGATGGGTTGTCCCTCATCATATCATCTATTCGACGAACAGTATCCTAAGCAAACTACCTACACAGGATCAATAGATCTAAAATCTAGACTGTATGCCAGGCCACCTGGGTAAGACCGTAGCTAGCGAGAGAGAGATACGACAGAGTATACCCGGGGCTGGTAGCTGTTAGGTTCATAGCTCTTCGTGCAACAACATCGTTATTTCCTCGTCGCTTGGCTGGCCTCGTGATACTGCACAAGAAGTCAATCATGGGAATGCTTGAGGTAGAGTATTAACAAGATTTTCTTAGAATCTTCTCGCCACTTGTACCATAGGTCGCGTTCTGGCCCGACTAGCTCATCCATAGAGTGCTTCGCTAGTCCAGGTATTCTATTATAAAAAAAAAGAACCAAATCAGTTGGTTCTTCCAAAGGATCATACCTACCTAGGTACCTATAGATATAAAAAGATAAAAGGTTCGATTCCTATATTAAACATCTACCCTTTTATTATTCCCCCCTTGTGTAGATAGCTTGGTCTGTTAATACTCAATCAGTAAGTATAATTGATCAAATAATATAGAGATACAATGTTACAGAGGCCCAACTCATAACTTCCTAGTGAAACGTTAGGAGGCCGTGTTTCACGACTAGCACATTCTTAGGGGAGGTATTGGATATTCCAGTAAAGCGTATGTGTGATGATCTAAACTTCCTGTGTCCAGGGGAACTCCGTTGTACTATTTTACTACTCTCAACAAGTATCAGTATCAAGGTCCGGATTGAAACTAACTATGACCGACCACCAAGCAGCATGTAGTCACTAGATATCAAGGCTTATACACACTACGTGGTGAGATGTTCGTGTCGTAACCCTGACTATGCCACGAGGAAAATAGCTACGTCGTTGCGCGACGAGCTATGGAACCTAACATATCCTAGCTTCGGGTATACATAGAAGGTGAGAACCTACCGATCTGTCCCCGCTACCACCGACCAACAAGCCTACGGTCCTACCCGGTCGACCAAGGGCCAAGACCCTGGCAGTTTGTTATACACTCAAGTAATATCGATACATTTGGGATCGCGGGTTCTATCGCGACGCAGAACCAAGGCGTAGACACAACGTTGTTACGCAAGAGCTATTATCAGGGGTAATGGAGACTAGTAGTGACCCCCCTGGTAACTCCCTTCGAGCATATAAAGGACCGGATGTCCCCAAGTAGAGTGAGAGGACATGTATTATACCATATATATACCCTCTATATATGAGCTACCTGTATAGGAGGTAGGCATCTACATAGGCGCAGAGGTCATTGTTCGTTGAGCCCAGCTCCTTTGGGATCCGGACTGATACTTCTCGCCATCTGGGCCAACACTGCTAACTCTTGTCTAAGGAGTCAGAGGTCTAGAGACCAGAACCCTAACAGTTTTGATCTTGTCTTAACAGAGTCTGCGCTTCCAATATCGCGTTAGAAATCATCATATAGTATAGCCCCTGGTAGTTTGCCTTAGGAGACTTCGCACCACCAGACATTTCTGTGCCTAGTAGTCTCAACACCCTGACCGGACATATACACTTTACAATCTATCTCACCAGTCACAGTACTTGGCTCTGATATCCATTTATACACGGTAGTGTTTGTGTGGACCGCAGAAAGGTAGCATGTTCATAGAAACACATATCCGCGTCGCTACTATGCTGACGGCCCTAAGATAACTCTATGGAGTTGCGATCAGGCTTTCAAGTCATTACCAACGAGAACTTTTACGAAGAGACCTCAGCAATAACCATACCAACAGCCGTCGCAATTCTATGGCCCAAGCCTACAGCAAATGCCCGATGTCAGATCGCAGAATCCAAGTTCCGCGGAATAGTCACCAGACCTGACCCCAACTCTCAGTCTGACAGGTAGTGCCACACTCAGTCACCTGTCATCCGAGCCTCACGATACATGTCCTAAGTCCGACGTTCGTAAGTGGGGGGCGGTTAAACCATGCCCGTCACGGTGGTGGCTCTCGATTCGAGACCATCGTGCCGAGAGAACCGGGGAAGCATTAGGCACATCTTGGGTTACGCGGGCGAGAGTAGCGAGGCCAACGTCGCAGATGAGTAAGAAAAGTCGACAGGAAAGAATGCAGCGACTGTTCGCCAAGTAACGCCCGGCATACCTAGCCAGCAGAGTGTCGCAGCGCATAATCAATCTCAAGTAATAAGAAGGCAAAAGCGCTCAGCTGTCACCCAACGGCCGATTGCCCTTTCGGCCTGAGGCAAGGTTTCAACGAGGCAACGTACAAGTGCCGAATCTGAGATATACGCCAAGGCGAGACGCACATCTTGCATGATGATGCCACCTATAGAGTCCCGAGTTATGGTTGATCATGGGTACGCTCATGTAGCAGCAAGCACGCAGTTCGCGGCCGCACCATCCCATGGTGACGCTCGCATATTTTTTGAGAACCGGTACGTTGCGACTCGCATTGCGAGCCAGAGAGTGTTCTGACTAAGTTACCTACGTCATCTACGCAGTTGCTCTCTCGTCCGTCCTCGACGGGATTGGCTACCCAAGTGGATTATTCATCACGATAATGTTGGGGCGAGGCTCCCCGTTAGCTTGATGCCTCAAAAGACCTGTCACATATCAACTACGTGGCGCTCCAGGGTGAAACCGGTCAAACATAGGGGTCCTGGGACTGACCACCAACAGCAACACAAGATTCGGTCAGGTAGGCAGAAGTATATAGGGGGCGTAGGAAGATAAAGCGAGATGCCCGTTGACAAGTCTAGAACATAACCTCGTACGGTTCGGCCTCGTCGCTGCGCATCAGGAGGATAGAATATGGCAGTAAGCAGCGAAGGGCGCTACACTTTGCGTCATTATCTTTTATATAGACATACAACCCAGAGGGAGAGCTCGGTCCAATCAGGCAAAGGTGTCAGACCCCTCGTGTACCTCGCACCGGAAAGAGCTAGATGATTCGAGATCGAAAATCGGTCATGCAACCACCCGAAAGCTTCGCCTCATTGGCTTTTCGGCCGTCGTGCATGTGGAAGGCTGGGGTTGGCCCTCCCTTGTGAACCTCGGCGGGGGAAAAAGAAAGGTGACAAGCCAAGAGGAGTAAGGAAAGATCCAAGGGGGGTGAGAAAAAGCCTCTCTGCAAGATTGCATGGGGACTTTGCGAGATCGGGTCGAGTTGCTCAGGACCGGGAAAAGTTAAATGAAACGACAGGTCTCTTTTCTTTCTTTCTTCTTACCTTCCTTTAACGCTCGTCGGTAGCCTCATGGCACCTAATTTGCTTAGAAACGGTCAGCCTGCCTCAGCTTTCAGTCGGCGGCGCCACGGCGTAAAAAAAAAGATGGACTGCCGTGGACCTCATAGCTAGTGCCCCTATCTGCTATATGAAGCCCACATGCATACGTTTTTTTTTTTCGTAATATGCACCGGAGTCATGACCCGAGGTGGGTTGGATGATTGTCTCGGGCTCTCGGGCTGCTGCGTCTTTGCCGTGCTCCTCCCTTGCACGCCTGTGAGCGGCGACTTGAGGGAGTTTGCCCAGCTCCAAGTAGCGGCCTGCAACCGGTAGACTCTCTGACGGAATATGATCATGAGCGATAGAACAATAGATGACATGTGTCCGTACTATGGTAGCACGGATATGCCGGTCTCTGGGACGGGATGGACCGTAACGAGGCTTACGGGGAAAAGCAACCCCA